GGGTGTTAAAAGGAAAAGCCACACATCTAACAGTTCTATCCTGAAATGTATAACCTGCACATGGAAGACTTCAAGTGCCAGGGAGGCCCGTGTTAATCCTCAGACAATCAACCTGTGACCAAGTAAGAGCCCTCAGCTCTTCCTGCACATTCAGTCATGGTTGAGACGCTATACAAGACTGGCTGTCTACTGTGTCATGTGTTCAGGGAAAGTTACCTCCCAAAGAAGCAGTCTGGGGGAAACATCTGACGCCACTACGGCTGCCTGACAGAACACATTAATCAGAGCTGCACACGGAAGCAGACCTGTCAAATCCTCATCTCAGTCACTTAAAAGGTACCTTGGGACCACCACTGAAAATAACCACCATTAGGGATTCAATTTGACATGTATATGAGCAGCACCAGGCTCTGTTGATAATAATGTAACAAAGCCAGGGTTAATGGATACTTAATAAGACCTATAGTGAAAACTATATAACAATAATCTGCCGCACTGGAGGACTGCTTCCTTGTTATATGTCAGCTTGTCGACACAGCAAAGTTTAACTATTTCAAAGATTTAAAAAGAAAGAAAAAAAAAACAGCATGATTAGAACATTAAATTAAAAAAAATCAAAAAGTTTCTTTCTCTCTCTTTTTTTAAATATATGGAGATTTTGCTCTCAAAATAAACACACTCGCCTCTATAGTCGTGATGTGATAGAATTAATGAACTGATACAATCCATTTTGAGACCGTGTCAAGAGATGACAGATCGCAGAGTGCTGATTTTTTCTTTTTTTTGTGGATTAAAAGAAGTGTTTGTGCAGCATTTGTGCTGCAGCTTGTCTGTTTGGAACATCACTTTGCCTGCAGGACTGGAAAAACAGCCCCGTATGCTGTGAGCATGACAGTGGCATTTGGTTAACTGTTCAGTAACACCAGCACTCATTCATTGACAAAGCAGAAAGAGCGCTCACATTAGAACAAAGTTCTCTTAAGTGTGATCAAGCAGATGACTTTGACCACTCTTGAAAAGTTACTTTGCTGTAGCTGTTCTGCTTCCAAAGAAAGGTAACAAAGACAGTGAGTGTTTGAGTTACATATCAGTCGAAAAAAGAAACATTTAAAAAGAGGGAAAAACGTGTTTGTAAAGAGCCTAATGAAGCTTCTTGTGTCACAAATATTTTGAACACTCAGTGTCAGCTTTAAAAAGGCACAGATAATGAACAAAACCAGTTACCAGACTGTTCAGAGCCAGTGGTCCGTGGATTCATCCAGGGAAAAATTACTTCTGAGCGGCAGATGGTGAGTAGACTGCAGCTCCTGCTCTTGATGTCCAGCTTGCCCTTGCCATGGCAGTGAACCACGGGCTCCAGTGGGCACTCAGATTGTTCATCTGGGTTCAACCTGGAACTGACACGAGAAGAGGAGGTCATGTTTTGCTGATTAAGTTCTGCTTCTTGGCCTCCTCCTCCTCCTTCATTGTATCCCGCGCTTAATTTTGGCACCTGTCCAGAGCTCATAGCAAAACTGTTGCCATGCAGCTGCAGTGGGAGGGCAAACTGTTGGGGGTCCATGGACCCAGCTCATCAAACTGTTTCAAATAAAACCAGGAGTCCCTCAACAGCAGTAAAAGGCGAGGACGTGTGTCTATCTAATATTCGATCACAATTAACCTGAATGTAAAAAGGCACGCGGGAAAGTGCACTTTGAGTAACCATTTGGAACAATTGAATAATATTTACCAGAAGGGCGCCGTGGTCACGTGTGGCAGTCCTCCAATGACGGAGCTTTGGAGTTGGAAAGTAATCCGCCGGCAACTTGGAACCCAGAGGAAGCTTCTGCCATATTTCTTCAGACATTTCTATGAGCAGCCTGCATTTCTTTACCTAGGATATTAAAAAAATATATAATGGAATATGAAAAGACGCCAAACGACTGTGTAATCAGTGTAAGAGAAAGAGGGAGATGTGTTTAAACGGAGAGACAAACATTAGGAGAAAGGGGGGGAGACAGACAAAGCTTACACGCGCGGTGAGGAGCATTTCATTAGAAACTGGGCGCAGATTTCTTGTAATATTGTTACTCTTTTGACAGGACTCATTTTCTCGTTTTATTTTTGAAGGAACCGCCGCTCGCAGCCACACATCCTGAACTTTTTGGTGGTAGGTTTGAACAAATACGATGCGAGGATTTTTTCCTCTGCGCTACAATACGCGTCTGTGAGGTGGAATAAGAGATGGTTAATAACTGGTTATAGATCACAGCTCATTATTCTGCTGAAGCTTTTCTAGGTGTAAAATTATTAAAAAGAAATTGCGCTCCTTGTTTGCTTGTTTGTTTGTTTGTTTTTTCCCCAGTCAAACGCTATTATAAATAATGGTGCTTATTCGCGTATTTTCATTCTACTAGGGGCACTAACTGGAGTAAATCTGTTTCAAGTCTGTAAAACGAAATCATTACGCTTATTTTGGATAACTTAGTCTGAAACGCATTTAAATACCTATTATAAATCGGCGGGTTTTATAAACACACAGAGCGTGTGTTTATAACAGTGTAGCTTTGGTTTAATGGGATTCACTGGGAGTGGTCAAACAAAGACATGACAGTCATTGCCACACAAAGACAAAGGAGGCAATCGTCAAAGATGTTTTTTTCTACAGGACAATTCAACGCATTTGCATTAATCAGGCATCACTGTACAGCATCGAGTCCACTGACGGTGGCTCCAGGAGGCAACACTCAAACACTATGGACATCTTTTGGAGGAATTAAATTCCTCCTTCTGCACGAAGGCGTGAACCCAAACATGAGATGCTCAGTTAAAGGCTCTTGCGCGCCTATTTGCAGCCACAGTGCCAAACATCCAAGACAACTGGGACTTAGCTATGAAGGCGTAAAACACCTAAATAAAATATGAATTTTTCAACTTCATTTTAAAACCCATAATAAATATTTTTTTCTAGGAGAAGTTATTTGGTATAAAAGCTACATCAATTGTGGCCTAACTGAGTTATACTGTAGGGAAAAAGAACTCATAAAACGTGTTTGTTTAATTCCAGCAATGCGCAATTTTATGCAAAACGGCCACATAACGAGAATAATGAATCTATCACAAAATTATAAATAGTGCTCCCTAAAACATGCTCTAAATGAGAAGGTTTGGGAGACTATACTGAATATTCCAAGCCAGTATTAATCTTAGCTGAACCATGTTTTGGATGTAAGCTCCTTCTGGTGTTTCAGTACAAAGCTGCAAAGCTGTCGAGAAAACCCTCTTTAGATGTCTCAGAGGTGATGGATTATGCACTCAGGGTTTGCGTGGAAAGAGAGGAGCCTTCCTCCTTCTCCGTTTCACCCCTGCTGCCACTATCACCGATGTTTTACCTGAACCTTTAGAGTGGTGTCACATCCTGAGATTTTTTATTTTTATTTTATTTTATTAGTTGAATTTATTTTTACGTAATGAAATATTTTATATGAAATCAAGGACACGAAACAACTGCTGCCATAGCACAATGCTTACAACATTAATATAATTTCAATTTGACTGCTGAGGCATTAAAAATGTTTGTTGACACTAAAAACTACAGTGTTGATATTTCTTTTCCGCCCTTTTGAATTGTAGCAGTTAAATAAAGTCTGTGGAAAGGTTTAGTACTTAAATTTAAATTGGCTAAAGGTTAAATTTGTCATTTCCACTGTGAGGTAAATGTGGGCCAGCAAAACTAAATAAACTGATAAAACCCTGACATATGTTTGTGTTTTCGTCTCACGCATAAATAAATCTATTATTAGTAGTAAAAGCAGCATTAGTGTTATTATCAGCTGAATACGGCAGTGTACATCAGGACTGACTGAAAGTGGAGAAAGTAATTAAATTCGTTTTGTTTTCCTTACCTCACACCCTTGAACATACTCTCTGAATTGGAGATAGAATCTATGATATACTAGCTCAGCAAGACCATAATTTAGCTCCTCCGCGCCTCCACCACAATTCTCCGTGAACTCTGTTTGAACCGCCTCAGTGGCAATAAATCATTTTTCTCTCTCACACAAAAGCGCGCCGGTCGCTCTGGGTGTCAACCCTTTTACAATTCCTCCTTACCTTCTCCGCTCTCTCGCCTGCTGACACAAACAACCAAGGAAATTGTCTATAAACTTTTATTTTTCACAACAATAACGCAGACAGAAAATGGTACTGCAGAATATCCGCAGCTGCGCACAAACGGTGAAATCCGGCAGATGCAACACAATTACGTTTTTCTTTTCTGTCTTTCCCCATATATATGGGCACGCGGGAAAGTGCACACACACACACACACACACACTCACAAACACACACACACACACACACACACACACTCACACACACACACACACACACACACACACTATAAACATATATATATCTTCCATATAAGAAAAAAAATCTATAAATAGCTCACAAAGCACAAAGGAAGCACGGATCAGTTAATGTATTTCCAGGGGACAGAGCTCCGCAGATAAAGGGAGACTGAGAGAGAGCTGGGGAGAAGACGTTAATGGGCAGAGGATGCTGTCGGTTAAAACGGTGCATACAAATGGCGCTGTCTTGGCAGAGCAAGGAGAAGATTTATGGGCCCGGTGCCCTATATTGCTGTAAACAATGCAGAGTGAAATGAAAAGACTAGAGTTTGCAGACTGCACTTCATAAGTTAGTAAAAGACAGACAATGACAATTTCCCAAACTAGTCCCGAATTTCCTATAAGCGTGTGCATTAACATGAAGTATTAATTTGGGCCTAACTCTGATGTAAATCGTGGCCAGTCTGGAGAATAGAGACAAACCTCCTCAGTACCGTACTGAAAAGGTGCAATTTAAAAGTGCAATAATTAAAATAACACTCAAAATATTTATCTATCTATCTATCTATCTATCTATCTATCTATCTATCTATCTATCTATCTATCTATCTATCTATCTATCTATCTATCTATCTATCTATCTATCTATCTATCTATCTATCTATCTATCTATCTATCTATCTATCTATCTATCTATCTATCTATCTATCTATCTATCTAAACCTATATACAGAACAACCTAAAGGGGAAAACCTAAACGTTAACCCCTCCAGTAAGAAGATCAGGTGGCTTCAAGCTGTGGGGTAAATTTTACTGACATTGTTTGGATCCAGTTGTTAGCTTAGAAGGAAGTGTGCAAAAGTTGTCCTAAGTAATCATCTTTATCCTTTGATTAACAATTTCTACCCAAATGGGGTCTCTTCCAACAAGATCACTCACCCATCCACTGGGCACAAGGTCACTGAATGGTTTAGTGGGTATGAGAATGGTCTGACTCAAACTTTATCATATCAGAGCTCAAATCATCTGAAGACCTATGGGAGATTTTAGTGACCTCCACCGCACCATCATCCTCAAATCAAAAACTTGGCTTATCTTTCCAGCAGAGTTCAGGAGAATTGAAGGATCGATGCCAAGTTGCATAGAATCTGTTCCGGCGACTAGTACCTTACTAAGACATTTTATGTTGTTTTTTTCCTTTAATTGATAAATATACATGCTTTACGCGGTATTTATTTGTTTACTTATTGTATAGTTTATTTTAAAGTCCTGCATCTTAGATAACAGAGGTCATATGACCCTTCGCGTTAACATCCAATCAAATACAGTACACACAAAGTTAAACTGCAGCAGCAGCAGCTGTCAAAGTGCTCAAAGTTCTGCATGATATGCAACTGGTGGTCACGCAAATACACCGGATAATCATTTTCAGAGAACAAATCAAATAAAAACCGCATCTCGCTAAACTTCTGCATAATCATGGATCTATAGTCTCAGGATCGCATATTCAGAACACTTTTGCTAATGAAAAGCGAATAACATAATCATAACTCAATCTAGTGACTGTCTGGGCCCCCTTGTGACACCTCTAACGGAAGAAAATGACTGTAATTTCGAAGGTCCTCAACGATGCAGCAAATGGGCTAATTAAATATTTCTCAGCGAGGCGTTATGATGACAGAAAGTATACTCGTAAGTTTATCCAGGCCATCATTTCCTGTGCGATGTCAACTCTACAGTGGGACACCAGTCCAAGCTGCTTCGTCGTCTCCTGCTTGAAATGTTTTCCAGCGCCGACACTAAATCATTTTTAACATTTCTGATGGCTTTTTAAAATCTAGTTTTATGTAAATTAATCAAACTCTACCTCCACCACGCATGCGCGCACACACCAGGCCGACGCATTTGCTCCCTTGAGTGAACGGATAGGAGAGAGATTTACGGATTTACGACACACCCACTGCTGGTCAATGTGAGACAGCCTCTCTATCCCTGGAAAATAGCAGCATGACCCCTGTTTCAACTCTCAGCCTTTATGCAGCTGCCATGGCTGCCGTTTAAACACACTACAGGATAACAATGCACCGGCCCGGACCTTTTATGACAAACCAAAGTGACTGAAGAAGACACTCACCTGGGATGAGTTTGAAACAGTTTGCACTTAACCCGGCGCAGACAACAAAAGCAGGCAATCAAGCGCGCAAGCGTCACAACACAGGCGCTTCCGTGTTTCATATTTGGTTTTGTTCAAACATTTCGATCGGTGTTTGTGTGCAAAGTTCTTCTTTTTTCATACATATATCTTCACAGAGAAAGTCCTCGCCCGAGGTGCTCGTAAAACACATGCAGCCTGCAGCAGTGCAATGTGAGCTGAAATTCATGTGTGATTCAACAGTCTCAAGTCAGAGACGAAACCAGTTAGCTGAGTAGAGACTGAGGAATTTATACACTCAACTTCAACCACACAAAATGCACCAGATCCCTGAAAGGCGGTGAGTTCAACAATAACTCATATCAAATGAATTCTTCAGATTCAGCCCGGGGGGCGGGGGCAAAATAATAAAGGCAAAAAAGACCATGACCTAAAAATCTGAATGGAGTGAAACCAAAAATACTTCATTCTAAACTTAAAGAATTAAACTGCTATCCATTCCTGTAGATCTTGTCACAGGTAAGGCCGTATTACTTTGAAGTTTACGCTCTTTCTTGGATCACGTGAGAAGAGAAAACGAAAATATTTGTGTACGCGATGATTCATTTTCTATCGTTAAATTTAATGCAGTTAAACATTTGTGTTGCTATGAGGAAAAGTTTCCATTGTGTATAAGAACAAAGTTAAAAAAACAAAAAGCAGCAGAGTGACACTGATTTATGACTGACTGGCCTTTTGTTTGAATAGCAATAATATTAAACCGCACGTTTTGTTTATTCCCATAATAAATCAGACAACGCCTAATACAGGTGTATTAGTTAAATCCCTGGCAACGCTAAGTCAAATTGTGCCTCATACACTCTCATTCCATTTAACGCAAATCTTCAGTTACAAGAGCTCAAACAAAGAGGGACATGTCGTCATTGTTCGAAGTGTAATTCGAGCTGCACCTGTACAGACACGATGAGGAGGATGAATTATCACATAAACAACTGACAGACGGTGAGATTAGTTTGGCTTTCAGTGTCAACTGTTTATCCTGGAAGACGGGCTGTTGAATATTTTTCCATCAACGTTGAATATTTGGTTCACACCAGAAAGATCAAAGCGCTCTAACACGCTGAAATCTGCCTGCAAAACCGGATAAGAGTTTTCGAATATCATTTTTAAAAAAGCGGGTAGTGATTTGCCCCATCAATAATATCTCAAGGGTTGACATCATCGCTTATATTTTCGAGCATCTTCTACTTCTAACACAACTTAATTAGTAATCTGTTCTGAAGTTCGCTCTCCTCTGTGTCAGGGGGAAAAATGCATGTGGCTAAAAATACAAGTTTGGGGAAGTGCCGAGCCTCCATGGGAAGTTTGAAGGTTTTTGAAGGTCTTTGTCCATAAACTAATCAAAATGACCAACTGTCCCAGTACTGTCAGAAACATCTATAATTGGCAGCTCACGTCTGAATGTAAGTGCTGACCGGAGACCAGCTATTCTCTTAAGCCACACAGGAGTCATGTGACTGCATCAAGAGACACTCTTTTTAATGCTCCTGTTTGGGTATGGGGTCTTCAGGGAACTAAAAGGGTAGTTTTGTTTACATCTTATTTATAATTTCAATTTAAAAAATAACTTTTTAAATACGTATACAAAACAATATTTCTTCCTTTCCTTCTTTTCTCAGACAGACTTAAAAAAATATTTATATATGTATGTCTCCATTAACTGCAGTAAAGGTTACCACAAAACTTTGCCACTTTGATTTGGAAACGACTTCACGGGAGATCGAAAGATTGTTAAATTAAAGAAGAAGGTGTCTGTGTGGAAATCCTGCAATTCTGCTGGATGCAAGGAAGAGAACCGTCCGAGAGTTCAGCCCTGTCCAGTGTCGTCGCCCCCACCCCGCCAAATTAACAAAAGAAGAAACACATTGAGTGATCCCCCGCAGCAGGCCTCTCTATCGGCACAACGCAGAAAAGAAAGCCGAGGCCGAAGGGGACCAGCGAGGGCGCACACAGAAGGTACACGTATAGAGAGTGAGTTGGGTCACAGGGTTGGAGAGGTCGGCCATCCAGACTGAAATGAGCCTAATGGGACAGAAAATGTGTCCCCGAGGTGAACTCGGCCTTCTACCATTTCGCCCCCAAACTTCAATAAAGTACCTTTTCAGCTTCGCGACATGGAGGCGACAGGGCCTAGAAAGAGGCTGGAGGGATGCTGGGACTGTGGCGAGCACATTAATTTCTCTAATCTGTCCAGCAACATAAAGGCTTCTGGATTCATTTTTCAGCGCCGTCTCACCACTATTCTACTGCCTATCCAAAGCCCTGTCCAAAAAGTAGGTTTGAACCTCTTTGGTCCAGCTTAAAGTCCAACTTAACTTTCACATTTGTGGGAAAAGCAGTCAAATAAAAAGAAAAGTGGCAGAGGATGCGACCCCGTCTACATAATATTTGATAAGATCAAAACTGGTTGTTGTCAGAGCTGTTTTCCAGAACAGAACACAAAGCTCTATGGGGAAAGATTGATGATGGAAAATACCTCATCCCTTTGTGCTCTTTTGCCTCCCACTACGCGAGGCATTTTATAAGGCCTATTCATGTCACAATTTCAATAATCTATCAAATTCTTGCGCGTCTTTGGACTCAAGCCATTTTTAAACCGAAATCCTTCTTCCCAAAAAAAAAAAAAAAAAAAAATGGGGGGAAGAATGGGAGACAAAATGAAAGCACTTCAGGCACTTCAGTTGATGATTCAGTTAAAAAGACTTTCTTCAAATTATTGCATCAGTCCAGCAGGTTTTCAGCAGCAAAGAGTCCTGCAGTGAGTTGGTCCCCCTGCCAGATGAAAGTCGCACGATGACGTTGCACAGAGACGCCTTAGCGCCGTTTTTGAAGTTTCTACAGTCTCGCGAGCTGCAGCATACTACGGAGGCAAACTGCCCACTGGGGAGTCAGCAGACAAATGAGCCAAAGTGTTTATACAAGCAAGAGTCAAAGAGTGAACAGACAAGAAAACAACAGCATTCCTTTTTGTGGAGAGGGCACTGCTTTAGATCAATTTAAAAAAAAATGTTTAAAAACCAAAACCAAAGGTAAACTAGTGTACTTCATCAGCATCTTCACTCAGATATTTAACGAAGACCACACGACGCATTATACTGAATCTATCGGCAGATCACGACTTTATTTTTTTTATTCATTTCACATTTGAAAACCCAGTCGCATGGCGCAGAGGACTATAGAAAAGCAGGGCAACCACTATTGTTACAAAATGAATAATTTCACAACAATCTAAAATCTCTAACACATTGCAAATGTACTCTAAATTAAACGCATGCATCTTTGTGTTCAAGTCAGGACGAAGGAAGCGAGTAGCTTCTTTTGTAGCACTGGCAGAGGCAGTGCAGTGTGGACTGGAGGGCCTCAGTGGCTTGTCTAATTGAATGCCCTTCAGACTGATGAGGTTGCACGTATACTGCACAGCGCAAACTATTTCATTTTCATATTTTAGAAATAACTTCAATCCATTATGAGTGAAGCTTTAACACGCACACACACACTCACACACACACACACACACACACCACACACACACACCACACACACACACATACACACACACACAGTGTCTGTACACATTGCAAATATAAACACGCAAAAAAGGGAGCTGCAGGATTGACAAACACAGTTTAAAAACACAGTGATTTTTGTTTCCCTCGTGAAATGTCCAGTATTCACACATCTGTACACTTTTAAGGATCTCCTCCAATTTGCAACAGTAGACCTCACCTTACCTAAAATGAACTTGGAACAAACGTATTTAAAACTAGTAGACACTCACTGTTTTATTGACCAATATGATTAGCACAAGTACACTAAACTCCGTTTATTGCATTTCACAATAATCTGCTTTGAACCGTCTAAAACACAACATCAACACCACAAAACTAAATTGCAAAAAATTGAAAAAGAAAAAGAAAAATCCTGTTTCTGAAATACACGAGGTAATTCACACATTGTTATTCTCCTAAACATACAAGTTCAAGATCAATGGTGTGTTCCAGCTTTCTTTTTTATATACCAAAAATAACTATTATTATAGTGATTTCCTTCCAGTGTTGTTTGAAATAAATAGATTGTGCATTTCACCTTGGGCAGCAGGGCAAAAGAATGGCCCACAATAACATTTTGATAAAATGTATATTTTTTTCTACTTTTTCATCCTTCATTCAAAACATTTTTTAATAAAAAACATCATTTTAATTGAACTTCAAATAAATTAAACCCTGTGTCACGTAAAAATAATTCATCGGTATTCGCAGTAATCCATGCTATATAACATGCATTTTATATAACTTTGGACTTAAAGGAAACCGCACAAGATAGCTACGAAAACAAAATATATAAGTGTTCTATAAATAACCAGTTCTTATTCTACCCCCAGTAATGGTTCGTGGTTTTATAACCTGGTAATATCCTCGCCATGCTGAGCTCCGGTAAGTTCGTCGGGGGCCCCGGTGTTAGTGGCCGAGGCAGCGGCAACAGCGCCGGCTGCTGAGCTTGTGTTGGACCCGGAGGAAGAGGAGGAGGATCTCACTTTGGTGTTCGGGAGCCTGTGATCCTTTTTCCATTTCATCCTGCGGTTTTGAAACCAGATTTTAATCTGCCGCTCGGAGAGAACCAGGGTGTGTGCGATCTCGATGCGCCTCCGCCGAGTTAAATATCGGTTATAGTGGAATTCCTTCTCCAATTCTAAGACTTGCTGCCGGGTGTATGCTGTCCTAGACCGCTTGGGCTCCGTCCCATTGTAACCAGAGTTCACTGGAAGAAGGAGAAGAGGAGAGAAAGGGAGACAGAGAACGGAGGAAAGGAGGGGTAAACAAGAATGGCCTGAACTGAGATATGGCTGGAAAGATTTATTGGTTATGAATGTTTAGCTGTTTGAGAAATTTAAATGGGAAGTTAAGAACTTCTCAGCGTAATGAGAGGACACTCACATCCAACTATGAGCTAAATTATTAATGCAAGATTACAAAGCTCAGATTTTTTTTCTTATTCATTTCTCCCCCTCTCTCCATCGCGCAATACATAACAGCAGAAGCCACATGGTGATACGGCTGCCCTGAGTATACCTCGGCTATAAAATTTATGGTGGGTGTAATTACCAATGCCGAGTCGTAAATCCGCCTCAATTGTGCCATTTCAAAGGCTTCCCTGCTATCGGAGCAGGGGCTGGCAACGAGATGGGAGTCAGAGGGACTGATAAAGGGAGGGAAGGGGAGAGAGGAGCATGAGGAGTGCAGGGAACATAAACACACAAGTTGCCTACCAGTGCTGACGTGAATTTTCTTCATCCATGGGTACACCACAGGCTGTTTGGAGGAGGCTGTGCTGTTTGGATGCTCCGGGGTAGCTTGGTTGCAGGCGGAGGTTGCGGCCGGTGGGGTGGCGGGGGACATGGACAACTGTGGGGTTTCACATGAAGCAGGTTGCCCTTTCCCTGTCAGTAGATGCGCAGAATGGGGTATTCCATGTCCCCTTGGCGTGTCAGGTTCAGGGATGCTTGCACAGTTAAACTGGCGCTCTTGGTAGCTCGCCCGCGGAGGATATAACTCCTGATGGTGATGCTGGTAGCCAGTGTCCCTTGCGCGGCTGTAATATTCTGGACTATGCTCGGGGATGTAGTTATTTTGCGAATATTCCTCGCATGGAGGAAATTTCGGATCAATGTAGTTAGACTCCATCAAATACGAGCTCATGATCATTAATTTCTGGAGTGGAAAATAATTTTTCTAGCTTTGTCGTTTTTCTGCTCCATAAAGCCCTCCTACTTGCGAGCAGCCCTGTAAAGTTACTTTTACCACGTGACCCAATGGCCCAATAGCAGGGTAAGAGGTAGTTCCCGGATAAGGAACCAGAGGTATTTAGCATACCTACAGTCGCCATTGTGGGCACAAATCTTTCTCTCTCGCTCTCTCTCTCTCTCTTTCTCTCTTTCTCTCTCTCTCTGGCTGCGTTACCAAGGCAATTGATCTTGGGGACAAAACTAGTAGCTAGTTGCTGACCAAGGAAAAAATATAACAGGCAAATACAGTGGTCTCAATTATTCAAAGGGACAAGGATGAGGTGCAACAACAAACCAGTCATTGTGTTAGTTATAACACCTGATTAACAAAGACTGTCTCTGACAACAAAGCTTCAGCTGTGACACAGCCCAGGGTCTCTTCACAAGACTAAGAATAAATTCATTCTTTCTTTCTTTCTTTCTTTCTTTCTTTCTTTCTTTCTTTCTTTCTTTCTTTCTTTCTTTCTTTCTTTCTTTCTTTCTTTCT